CATTTTCGGAATGTTTGTAATCAATGGATTTGATATAAATCGACAAAAAGAGAAATGCCGTGACCCGGGATCGAACCAGGGACCTTCAGATCTTCAGTCTGACGCTCTCCCAACTGAGCTATCCCGGCGATATAAATCTATTCTAATGAGATTTTTAATCCAAAATCGACATTTTTCGAGAATGCCAATTCAATGATCACGTCTATCAGAAGAATTTTTAACGATGAATCATTCGTATTTCATAGGATTTCAAAGTTCAGTTTCATTTCATTTGTTCGGAATATGAATTCATTAATGAACATGTCGTCATATGTTTCAGGATTTTCGAAATCGAATAGAAATCTCGTGCGAAGATAAATTTTTATTTTTATTTTCGGTTGAAAAATCACCAAACCATTGTAACAAATTCTATACGAAAGAAGAAGCACGTTTTATCACGGTCCTGCCATTCAATACTCGGAAATATCTATAAGAGTTAGAAGTACACTTCAACTGAAAAATGAACAGATATTACACTATCGATTTTATTGAATATCTTATGGCTAATGGTTAATAGATCGTTCACTGCAAACATCGTTTGACTAAAAAAGACGATAGTCCTCATTTTGCATCGTCATGTGAATAAAACCTATAAAACACGTATAGACGTACGAAACTACATCGAATTAAATAGTTGTGTAGACATTATGATACAATCTCATTTCAATTCGTGTTGTTAACTGCACATGAATATTATTCTTTGAAATTCATAATATTTATAAGTAAAAAGAAGATCTTTTCTTTATATGATTAAAGTGTTTATTCTATAGTTTATGAAATGGAAAAAGTTAAAAACTGTTCTTGATAATGAATAGATTAATGTTATTGCAAAGATAAAGGATGCACGGGGAAAAGTCACAGAAAAGAAAAGCTTGAAGAAAATTTGGAATGTTCATTCGTTTATTTAGCAGTTGTTTCTCTTTCAATTAATTGATTTTGTTTTGGTTGTAAAAATTCTTCTACAACTTGTTCAACTAAAGCATCAAGTTCATCTTTAGTTTCTTTTCGAAATTGTTCATCATCAATCATTGGATTGTCTTCTGATGGATTTTTTATTTCTTTCTTTTTACGTATTTCAGAATACCATTTAATTTTTGGTTCAGTTCCACTTGCTCGAATTGTAATTTCACAACCATTATCAAAATAAAATGTGATCATTTGTGTTGCTGATGAACATGGTAAAGTGGGTTTTTCATCTTTTCCTTTATCACGAAAATCAGCTTCGATTCCAACAGTTAAATCACGAATACCAGTTATTTGATATTTTCCACATGATTTTGGATAAACATATTCTTCATCTTGTCCATTTTTCGATTCATTTTCATTGGCACCAAGATGAGATTTGATCTTATTTGAATATTGAACAAGAATCTTTGCTTCACTTTTTTCTCCTTGATTCGTTTTCTAAAAAAAGAATAATAAAATGATTATCTTCGTTTTTTCTTCTAAGAAAATGAAATGTGAGAATATTTACCTGTGCATTCTGATCTTTCTTTTGATCATAATGTCTGAGTCGATCAAACATATTCATCATGACATCAGTTTTATTACAAATGACATAAGAATTGTTATTAATATGATAACCATAAAGTAATGAAATTTGATTAAGTTGTTCATACAATGTTCGACCAATTGACTTAAGATAAACACACATTTCTGCTCCAATAGCCAATGCAGATATTCCATCTTTATCTAAGACATTCTCGGGATCACACATAAATCCACTTAATTGAAATAAAAGATGATTTATTTTCAATAGAAAATCAAATGTTTGACTTACATGGCTTCTTCAAAAGCAAAGAGAACATGTTTTTTCTGATGAATAAGTTCATTTGATCGATTTCCAAGCCATTTGAATCCTGTGAGAGTATCAATTGTATTAAAACCTTCAACTTCACCAATTGATTTAAGAATATGTGATGAAACAGTTGAATAAAGCATATAGACATCTTTAACATTAACATTAGGATTTCGATTTCTCCATGTAAACCAACGCCACCATCCAAGTAAAGCTCCTAATTGATTTCCACTTAAAATTCTCCATCCTGATTCCGTTGAACCAGTTGGATCTCGTTCTGCAAGTGCAAATCGATCAGCATCAGGATCAGTAGCAATAATAAAATCAGCATTATTCTTATTAGCTGTTCGAATAGCACATTCCAATGTTTCTTTTCCTTCTTCGGGATTTGGATATTTTACCGTAGAAAAGTTTGGATCAGGATTTTTTCTGTTCATCAACTGATATGAATGGTTGAAAAAGGAATGCAGCACATGCACGTTCAGCATAAGGTTGTCCAACACCATGAACTGGTGTATAAACGAATTTCAATGGTGTTGATGCATTTAACTCAGGAAAATAACATAATTTAGATAAATTTGACATATATAAATCACGAATCTTCAAAAACAAAAAGAAATTGAGATGATAAAAAGAACAAAATAAACAAAACCTTTTCAATTGGATCAGAAATTAATTTCGAATTTTGTCTTGAAGAATATTCANAAAAACAAAAAGAAATTGAGATGATAAAAAGAACAAAATAAACAAAACCTTTTCAATTGGATCAGAAATTAATTTCGAATTTTTGTCTTGAAGAATATTCAAATTCCATGCTTTATCTTTCCATGGTTCTAAATTTTGTTCAATAGATTGTGCAATTTGTGCATCTAATGGTGAAATAATTTGTGCTCCATTTTCCCAATAAACTTTATAACCATTATCATCTTTGGGATTATGACTTGCTGTTACCATAATTCCCGCTTGACAATGAAGTTGTTTAACAGTAAATGGAATAAATGGTGTTGGAACTGTTGTCGAATCAAATAAATAAACATGAATACCTTCATATGCAAAGAGAGCAGCAGCTAAACGTGCAAATTCATGTGATTGATGACGTGCATCAAAACCAATGACAACAGCCAAAGAATCATTTTTGTTTTGAAATGTTGTTTGTATATGACGAAGAAGACCTTGTGTTGCTTGAATAACAGTTAATTCATTCATTAATGCAAATCCACTTCCCATTTTAGCACGAAGACCAGCTGTACCAAATTGAATTCGATGAGATAAACGAACTTGTAAATCATCCCATTTCGAATTCTTTTTTAATTCTTCAATTTCTTTTCGTGTTTTCTCACATTGATCCCATTTTAACCATAAATCGATTGATTTTAATAATTCGTCAGATGGCGAACTTTTCTTGTCTTTGTCAGATGACATCTCTATTCTATTTTTCTTTAACTAAAATCAAAAAATCAAGATAGAAGAAAAAATCTTTTTTTTCTGTAAAGATTAATTTTAATCCTTAACCTTTTCTTTTCTTTTCTTTTAAACAAATAACAATCTTAACCCTAACTAAACTAAAATATGATAAAGATTCTTTTTCATTTTATTGTATTGACTCACTCACGATTTATATTTTTAATCATTGGAGAAAACGAATCAAACCATCAGATCCTTATAGATGGCGCTACATATCTTTCCATCAATATCTTTAATGAAAATATATTTTATGTCTAAAAATGAATCACAATCCAGTCAATTCAAGAAAAACACGTTTATTCAAATGATTTTCTGTATAATTTCATTGAGAAACTTATGAACTATTTTTAGAAATTATTTAAAATAGATGCAAAACAATCNATAATTTTAACACCAACTATTAAAACGATTCCAAGCATTTAAATGACAAAATTGATTTGATCGCATAATTCTGATAACAAAAGCCCAAAGTTCAAATGTTATATTTGCTTTATAAAGAACTGCTCGTATTGGACATTCTGGATGCATATAATCTTGACCACAAACATGACGTGGAAGATTTGATGTAAAAGCAACATCCATATAAGGTTGAGCCAATTTTCTTGGTAAAATTGCAAATAAATCAGATAAACCATAATTTTTCTTATTACAAGGAAGTGGAATATCAGACCAGATTTGTTTATAACCTTGAAGAATATCTATTTTAATATATTCATAATATGGATTTATTAAAATTCGATCACGTGGTAAAATATTTGCTGTTGGTAAATCTTTTGCAATAAATAAATCAGGACGAGTTCGAACAATAAAATCATATTGAAATTGATTTTCTTTTTCAATTTGTTCAATATGTTCTAAACAACGTTTCCATTTTGCATTTCCACTAATATCTTCAATAGCTCCTAAATGATTTCCAACAGAAATCCATTCAATTCTTCTTGGTGAAAGATATTTTATTGCTGCTTCATATCTTTCAGGTTCATTTGTATGAATAATTGTTCCATGAACATCTTCTGTTTTATTTGTCATTTGAAGAATAAGAAAAAGATCACCTGGAAGAATATTTAATGCTTGTCGACGATAAGCAACATAAACTTCTTCTTTATAAAGTGTTCGAGGAATTCCTGTCATACAATGTGCAATATGATATTGTTTTTTTTCAAATTTTTCACTTATAGAAATTCTTTGTTGATAAATTAAAGTACTTACAATAACTGTTAAACTTATCAAAAGAACTTTAACTAAATAATGAATTACTTTTTTCTCGTATAAAATCGTTTGAAATTTTAATTTCATATTCGTTAATTTATCCATATTCGAATTTTGTTGAAAATCAAATAATTAACAATTTTTCAAGAAGGAAAAAAAAACAAAGAATGAATGAAATTCATTATTCTCATTTTTTTCAAATACTTTTTTTCCTTTTTAAAGATTGTTCATCAGTAATTCTTTTTTTCTTTGCTAAGTGTATTAAAAAAGATGCTTTTTTAAAGAAAAAGGCAGGTATTTTATTAACCATCAAAAGTCATCAATGTTATTTTCATTTTCTTTAAAAGAAAAAAAGAAATTCATTTTCTAAAAGTATACAATAGAAATAACTCATTAATTTATCCAACATGGAGTTTTATCACAAATGTAAAAATCGAATGATCATCTGTTAAATACAATTCATTTTGTTACAGAAACAAAAAACCCGTTGATTTAAACATTTTCCTTTTGATTGATAATAATATAATCATTTTTCTCTCCTACAGAAATCTTCTTTTTGTCATAAAAAGAACAAAAATACGTATTTATCATTCATTTTCGATCGATAAAGATTGTTGAATTTCTATTTTATGTGACATTGAATGTGTCAATCATATAATAGATTGTTAAAAAGAATAAAAGTTGGAATAAAATCCTATTGGTTGATAATGACTAATATAACATTGAATATATGAGTAACAATTGTCAACACAATTAAATACACGGGACAAGTTTTTGTTGGATCAATGTTATCGTTTATTCGTAAAAGACTTCCTGCAAAAGATCGAAATGATGAACATATTCAAGAAATATATACGATTCAAAAATGAAAATAATTTCATTTCATTTTCTTTTTCTTCTTGAAGGATGAAGATCATATTAATCGAAGTCAATCAAATAATGAATTAAATGATAATAATTATGAAAAGAAAAAAGAAAAGAAGAAAAAGAGAAACATTGCAATGAAATCATCTTCAACTCTAAATGAATTGGACACTATTCCAATACAAAATCAATCTTATTCAGATGTCGATTATTTTCCAATGATGTCTACAGCATTTTCTCAACAATCCAATAATCATAATAAAACATCATCATTAGATTGTAGTAAGACAAAATTTTACTCTTTTTTTTCCTCTTATTAAATATTCTTTTTTTATGAAAAGAGTTGATGTCTGATGGTTATGTAAATCCGAGTGATGGNNNTACGTGTCGAAGATTCGATAAAAGATTTATCATCGGTACAATGGCGAACTGAATACAATGGCAAACGTTTATGGCCACACGATCAATGGCCTGAACGTGATTTAGTTAATTATCCACCATATAAACTTCGTGAAACACCAAATCCAGTTCGTTGGTATTGTGTACCTGAATCTTGGTTTAAATTTTTCTATGAAAAAAACTGGTGTTACTGGACCATATATGTTCTTTTATGGTTTAATTATTTATGGATTTAGCAAAGAATATATTGTACTTTGGTATGATTTCACTGAATATCTCATTTTGGCTGCAGCTGTTATTACTGTTGTTAAAAAGTAAAGAAATATTTTCTCTCATTTTTTTTATTCATTAAAATAAAATCAATTATTTATCTTTTAGAATTGGTCCAATGGTTGGTGAGGTTTTTCAAGGTTGGCATAAAGAAGAAGTTAATCGATACACATCAGTCGTACAAAATTCTAAAGCAATGGCTGGAAAAATGTTACATGGATATGAAGAATCATTAGAACGTGCAAAAAATATTGGAATATTAAGTGATGCACGAAAAGAAATCGTTAATATGGCACTTGAAACTGCATATCGTGATCGTTTAAGACAAATGTATGAAGCTGTTAAACGTCGATTAGATTATCAAGTAGCTTTACAAAATGCACGAAAAGATTTCGAAAGATCAAATATGATTAATTGGATAACAAATGAAGTTAAAAAATCAATCACAATTAAACAAGAACAAGATGCTTTACAATCTTGTCTTCAACAACTTAGACAAATTGCTGCACAAACAAAATAAATCGACATTATTATTATCATTTATTCAAACATTTTAAATGAAAAACATTCCTCCAGTTTAACAGTAGAAATATTTTCAATCCTGGTTTTTGTTTTCATCATCCTCTTTTCAATTCTAGTGTAATTACAAGTAGAGAAAAAAAAACAATATTTCGTATTTTTCCTTTGATCATCCGTTTTTATTTCTTCTTCTTTCTTTTTTCGTTGTAAGATCTTGTAAAGAAAAAGAAATAATACACTAGTAATTTCATCTCAAATTTCCTTTTAATAATATGAAACATATTCATTAATAATAATTCTCTTTTAGCAATTTATTCAGATAAAAAAACTTCTTCGTCATTTAAATCTTCTTATTTATAAGATCAACATAAAAATCATTTGGAAATAATTTGATCAATAAAAAAAAGAAAATAATTAATTTGAAAATTGAATTTTATCCAATCTTTTAAGTTCAATTTTTTGATCAATATACAACTAAATATAACGAAACTTTCATTTTACAATAGATCGAATATGTTCTAAATACTTTATCGATTTTGACGAGCATTTGATCGATTTTGTCAGAAAAACTTTCGATTGGATTACAATATTGTGAACGCATTTGTGTATCTCTTTGAGCATAAATTGTTGTCATACTTAATCGTTTTAAACCTTAAATAATAAACAATTCATAATTTTCTCGATTTGAAAAAGAATTCATTTACCTGACCAACATATAAATCTTCTCATAATAAATGGAAAAATTTCACAATTTTCTACTGGATTTTCTCGTGCTTTACGAAAACTTTCGTTAATTATTGAAAGAAACATACTTAAACAAACGAAAACAACTAAAAACATGAAGATAGCAAATACAAATGGACCAAGAAACGCATCCGCTTCAATCAATTCTGATGTATCAAACTTCATCAAGGTCATTTCGAATAACATTTGTGTTGTAGATAATAAACTTGAACATGATAACATATTTGAAACAAATAAGAAATAAAATAAACAAACAAATGATATATAAACAATGCTAAACATCATTAAAAATGAAATTAATTCTTTTTGTGCACGTTGAAGTGTTTGAATAAATAATAATAAACGAGAATCAAAACGAAGTAATTGAAGAAATTTTACCATACCAAAAAAACAACAAAAACCAAGAAGATAAATGAGAAGATTATCAACATATGCAGCTAATTGTAAATTAATATAAACATAACCATTTGTTTCTTTAAATAATGAACTGATACGACGAGATTCTTTAAAACGCCAAATATAAATTGCAACACTTGTCCATGAACAAACAATAATTCCTAATTCAATTAATGACCAAAATTGTTGAAAATATTTCCATTTCAATCGAAGAAATACGCGTATTTGTATAAACATAAAATAAATTATAAAACTCATGTAAATAATTGTACAGATCAATTGAAATATTGATGTAAATGCTATAAATACAATTCGAAAGAATAAGTTTTCAACTAAAGAAAATAAAACTCACTGAAAAAGTTTAATGGTTGAAAATAAGAAGTTGAAATAATTTCACCTGTTATTAAAAATTCACAAAGAAATGTTATTGATGTTAATAATTGAACATTTGGATTATATAAAGTTATTTGAATAAGAATTGCTCTTGTTTTTTTATCAATCCATTGAAGTTTATGAAGTGTTGTGATATTACTTTGAAGATCTTTTAATTGACCACGAAATTCATAAACATATCCACCTCCATTATATGTTCCATGTTCTCCAACAAATACATATGTATTTAATTCATTACTTGTACGATATTGAAATGAATTATTGATTGATAAACTATAAGTTTCATCAAGAGTTTGATTTGTCCATCCTGGTGAATAAGATTCTTCATCTTCATTAAAGAAATTATAATCTTTTTCACAAATTTTCATAATTCGTTGATCAGAACATGTTGATGGTTTAACACGTAATTGTCTCATTGTTGCCCATCCAATCAATCGATTTGATTTATCATTGATATATCCATTTAAATATTTTGGTATGTCATTGTTATACCATTGTTGAGAACGAAGATTTGAAATAAAACTATTTTGTAACCAGAACCAAAATTGAGTAACAGTTGTGATCTAAATCAACAAATTTTTATGTAGAAAAGTTTGAAAAAAATCAAAATAAACCTGAGTATAATCATTCGTAGATTGACGAGTATTTAGAAAATATTTTCGTAAATGTTGAACTTGAAGAAAACTATTCTGTTCACGACTTGCAAATGTTATTGAACAGATTAAGAAGAAAAAGACAAAGTAAATAATAAATTCACGAATAATTGACCACATTTGAATTTCTTTTATGCGTTGTTCACGAGCATGTATAACTTCACATTCAGTTAAACGATTAACATGTTGTCGTGCTTGAACATTCACTAACGAATAATTCTAAAAAACATTTTCATTGGAAAAAAAAACAACAAATTAACAAATCAAACTTTGATCGATTGGAAATATTCTTCGTCATCTTCATTGAAATTCATTTGATATTCATCGATATATTCATTTGTTTCTACATCGTCATTCGTATTTCGAAAGAAACAGATGAAAAATATGGCGAAGAAAACAATCTGAAAGAAAATCTGACAATTCAACTTGACTAAATAAAGATATAAACTTTACTTTGATAGGTTGAGTGAATAAGATCGAAGAGAAAAATGCTGTGAGAACCGATGTTAACCATTTTTTCACTTTATCATCACCAAATTCAATTCCTCGAACAATGATAAAGAAGATCGAAACAAGAATAATTAGAATTGAAAGAGCATAAGCAATAAATAAACACCACCATGGAAATGTCAAATGTGCTCGACGTTTCTTTTTTGAAGTTACACTAAAATGAATGAGAAAAAACTTTTTTGATGAAGGTGAAAAAATGATTTCTACGAACATCGGTGTATTTGGATTGATTTTATTCAACGCTTGACGTAATGGTGAGAATTGTTGACGTGATCGAATACGTCGAAAAAATTGAACAATTAAAATACTTGGAATTAACGTTAAAACTTCCACCATCACACCAATTCCAATCTGAGACAAATTATCAAATGAAATTCATCTTTTATACATTAATGACAACTACACTTACTTGTTCTGGTGTAATGTGTAATGGACCTATGGCTAAATCGAAGCTTGATGTTCTATTCGATGTCTTTGCTGCATTCGACAAATCATAATACATTATATTCAATAACATTGAAGAAAAGAGCAAAACGAAACAAGATGTACACCGTTGAACACATGTGAATTTTGCTGCGGGTGGACATGAAAAAATTGAAAACCAAAGATGTTGATCCGATACACTATGATAAGTTTTTTTGGTTAATAAATATGAAAATTGTTGTTTTTCTGAATCACTGGCAACAGGTAAAAGACGTTCAATACGTCCATCTTCTTTTTCCACAGCAAACCATTTTTGAGAAATAAAATGAAATTTCTCCATCGTTTGTAAATCTCGAACGATGATATATTTCAAAAACCACGATGCTGATGAACCTGGACCAGAATTATCATGCCAAATACGAATAAAATTTAAAGGTCCTAATGATTTGGGAACTGACATGATAAATGCATCGATTCCACCACGTTGAAAGATTTCTCGATAAGGATCAACAAATGTTCGAACATGTGTCTGATCATCATCACCTGATAAAACGAAATAAACCTAAATGAAAAAATTTTCTCAATTTTCAATCTCAAATTTGATTTTACTTTAGATTTTGTTGCCGCATTTTGACGATGACCAGTCAATACAATGATTTGATAATAATATCGATCAGATACATGATTATCCAACAAGGGTGTAACTCCTATCTTTTTCAAATTAGAAAGATCTTGAAAACGTGCTAGGATCAATAAGACAATATAAATTGTTGTCACAGATATGACAGTGATATAAACTGTTTTGTTTTGAAGAAAATCCGCATTTGAAAAAACATAATTCCAATTAATTGGTGCAGGTAAAACAATAAAACCACCTGCGAATGTTGTTAAATGTGTTGAAAAACATTCCGTCTCATAATGATTTGTTAATGATCCAACCTGAAGAAATTTCATAAATACGTAAACAAGCGAAATATTAGAAGAGGAAACTTACGCGTAATCCATCGGATTTCCAATTGTTAGTTGAATCAAGATAATAACAACCCGATGTATAAATACGAAGTTCATAATTTGATGTAAAATGAAACAATTCGTTTGTAATTGGAAGAATATTTCCAATAGAATTATTCGAACAATATTCAATATTTTCTGTTGAATTCAATTCTCGAAAACCGAAGATTAATGATTGATGATTTGATGTTTGTTGATTATCAATAAAATATGTATAAAGACTTTCATTCGTTAGATCTATAAGATGAAAACGAAAGAAAACTTGATTATCCAATGAAATTTCAAACTTACGTGAAGGACAAAAGATTGTCCATCCATCGATGAAGTTAATCGAACTGTTCAATAATGGTGTTTGATCGAATTTATAGATAAACAAATATGAAAGTGTTGAATTCAATGGATGAATTTCTAAATGAACTGAAATTGGAAGAGAATTTGTAATATTTATATAATGAAAATGAAAGATATAATGATAATCAGTTGAATTGATTGATGTTACATTTTGAAAATACATTGATGGAAGAAAAATATTTGGATCACGTGGTATGATCATTCGAATAGGATTGATCATATTGGTTTCAACGGAAATTTCAATTCCATTTTTATCAAAAAGTGATAATGAAATTGATCGAGAAAGATTTGTATTTGATTGAGATTGATTTGAACCAAATGATGGAAGTGGAGTCATCATTGACTAAACATAAATATTAAAAAAAAAGAATTTTTTTTGTTTAATACAAAAGAAAATCAGCGTTACTCGAAGAAAAATTGAAGAATTGTTTACTGTGATGTTTGTTGGAATTTGAAATTGACCATTATCTGGCTGAGTGACAATTTTATTTGATAATGAATCGTTTGATATAGTTTGTAATGACATGAAAGCAGTTGAAGTATTTATTGTTAAACTTTGTCCAAGATTTATATGAATATTCAATGAAGATGTTAATAATAATATGATTTCATTTGCTTTTGTAGCGATTTCATTTGCTAATTGTTTTTGATAATAAATATTTCGATTCTTTTCAATTGTTTCAATAGAAAAATCATTTCCATCAGCAAATAAATTCAAATTTGACCATTCCGATTCGATATCTGTATTATAATCATCTGATAAAGAATTTGCTCTAGAATAATCTGAATCAAGTATCAACATTCGTTCTTGTAAAACTCCATTAATTCCCTACAACATATCATCACATAAATTATCATCATTTTTACTCAATTTTTTGTCAATCTTACAATTAAAACATTCGATGCACATTGAATTAATTGAGTTGCAGCTGTTTGCATATCTTCAAATGAAATTTTTGTCTTTAATGAATATAAAGCAATGGTCAGTTGATAACATCGATCTGATGCAATTTGTAAAACATTTCGTGTTAATTGATTAGTTGATTGAGTCAATTGAGCTAATGATGATGATTGTAAAATAATACTATTTGATGTTGTAATAAGAAGATTTGCATAAAAATTAACGAGATAATCTCGAACATTCGCTTGATTATTCAAATCTTTTTCATATTCACTTGAAAACGAATTATTTGATGATGTTGAGATCGTCTATATAGATATACGTAGATCCTTTTAGATAAAAATATTCTTACTTTTGGAGTTGAAGTACTTTCTAATGATGAAACAAAGATTTCTGTTGCGACAAGACCATCTAAATGAGAAAAATTCGTTTCATTAGAAAAGAATACTTTATTGAAAGTATTTTACTTGAAATGGCGTTATTGATACTTTCAGTATTCATTTGATTGAGTGTTTGTGAAACTGAATTGACAATTTGACCAACAATATTTTGATTTCCACTCCATAATAATTGAACAATTGGATTATTATTCGAAAGATTTGCTAAATTTTGCAAATCATTGATTTCATTTTGATTTATGAAAACAGAAATTTGAGTCATGTTGACTATTGTAACACAATCAAGTGTATCTCTAATATGAATAACAATGTTCAATAATGAAGTTTGATTATCACCTGGTGGAAGTCGAGCTTGAAAT